GAAGCTTAAATTCCTTAAATATTGGAAGAAAATTTCACTGATTTATTCATATGCATTCATTCTTGATCCTAGAGCTAAGATGAAAGGGTTCTTTAATGTGCTTGAATTGCTTGGTAAGGCAATTGGATACATTTATAGTGTATACTATGGTGATGTGAAAGATGAATTGTATAGATTGTTTGTCAAGTATGAACATAAATTTGGTGCAGTTAGGTCTCAGAGGGTTTCAGTGCCTTCAGCTCATACTGGTAAGACAAAACAGGCATGGGGAAGGATCTTTGGAGGTCCTGGTGAATCCCCTGTCGGTTCCCCCCTCATCTTCATCTACTCCATCTACTGTCAGTGAGCTCAAAGCTTACTTGGACAGTGATCCTGTCATATGTTATGAGGAATCCTTTGACATACTCCTATAGTGACGTGACCACAAGCTAACATGTCCAATCCTATCTATTATGGCTCGAGATATCATGTCTGTCCCTGTATCTACTGTCTCTTCCAAGTTTTGTTTCAGCTGTACATCCAAGATACTCGAAGACTAGCGGTGGCGCTTGTTGCCTGAGCATGTGGAGATGCTCACCTGCATCAAGGACTGGGAGCAAGGTGCAAGAAGGGAACAACATACACCTGAGGACCTGGACCTAGAGGAGGCATTCAAGAACCTCTTCCTCAATGAACAAGGCGAAGGTAGCGGCACCGGCAGCGGCAGCGGCGGTACTGCTGGTGGTGGATAGAAGAAGAAGAAGAAGAGAAGAGGAGAGGTAGTCACTCACTCAACTGAAACTTCCATATTGCTTCTTTATATTCAAATTCACTAACATTGCTTGCTTCTGTACAATTTTGTAGGTACTTTTGGTGTGACAGAGTGAGACAGTGAGTCACTATGAATGTTGCCACTGATGTTGGCAGTTGGCTATTGTGATAGGATAGGACTTTTGCTGCTGTGAACTCACTAAGTCACATTGTCACAATGACTTTGCCACTGATGTTGGCTATTGTAATAGGATAGAAGAACTAAGACTTTGACACTTTAGAGCTGGCTGTACTATTTTTTCCTTTCTAGGGTTTCTCACAAGGGTGAGTTTTACCTAGAAATGTTTTTAATGAGGCAGCATTGCACAAAACAGCTCATATTCATATAATGATATAATCTTGTCTTTTGTCACTTGTCCTTGTGTTCTGAGTTGTGAGTTTGAGACTTGTGTCTTGTGAGTTTGAATTGTGATTGTGAAATGTGAATCATGTGGTTTAGAATTCTGAGAATATGAGTTTTGAATCTGATGTGAATCTGATGTGAATCTAGTAGTTTTGAATCTCTGAGTTGTGAATATGGTGGTAAAATCATGTTGAAAATGTTCTAAGTCTTTAAAGACTTAGTTATTTTTGCAGCCAGGCTATGGGCCGGCACGACTCGGTGAAAATGGTCGTGTCCAACGGGCGGCCCTGCACGGCCAAACGGCCCACGGGCCTTGCCTTGGGCCGGAGGCCGGGCACGAGCACGTCATAGGCACGGCACGGCCGGCCCGGTGGCCCGGTGGCCCGGTGAGGCACGACGCTGGGCCGGGCCGGCACGGCCCGATGGCCATCTATACCAACCGCCAGCACGCCTGAAAACGCAGAGTTCCCTCCGGCTCCTCCCGTCTACACAGACCACGTTAGCAATCCGCGTCAAGACCCATCTCTACCGTTCAATTGCAATGGCACCAAACGCATCGCGCCCCTCCACGTCATCGATCCGCGGCACCGACCCCTCCGCCAATCAGAGACCGCTGCTCCATTCCATAAATAAACCGCACCCCACGCTTCTCCTCCCAGCAATCGAAATACCCCGTCCTCAAATCGACTGAGCCAGCGAACTCCCCTGTTCCCGCAGCCTCACCCCACAGCAAGCCGCATCGATGGCGCCCAAGGCTGAGAAGAAGCCGGCGGCGAAGAAGCCCGCGGAGGAGGAGCCTGCGGCCGAGAAGGCACCGGCGGGGAAGAAGCCCAAGGCGGAGAAGCGCCTCCCGGCGGGCAAGTCGGCCGGCAAGGAGGGCGGCGACAAGAAGGGGAAGAAGAAGGCCAAGAAGTCGGTGGAGACCTACAAGATCTACATCTTCAAGGTGCTGAAGCAGGTGCACCCTGACATCGGCATCTCCTCCAAGGCCATGTCCATCATGAACTCCTTCATCAATGACATCTTCGAGAAGCTCGCCGGCGAGGCCGCCAAGCTCGCGCGCTACAACAAGAAGCCCACCATCACCTCCCGGGAGATACAGACCTCCGTCCGCCTCGTCCTCCCCGGCGAGCTCGCCAAGCACGCTGTCTCCGAGGGCACCAAGGCTGTGACCAAGTTCACCTCTTCTTAGATTAGGTTGGTGGTACTGGGTGGTGTTAGTAGATGTGGCTCAGTTTATCTGATAGGGCTAGAGGTAGCAGTAGCTGGTGGTGTTTGAAATGGATGAATGATGATCTGGGTGTAGTTGGTTTGCGGTAAGTATTGTGGTGATGCTTTTGGAATCCTGTTTCATGATCCAGAATAGTCACGGTGCCTATTCTACTTGTGATTTGTCAGGATGGATCCTCTTATTGTGCAATTGTCATATTGCTGGCAGTGAACTGATAATTCTATGTGGAAAACTATATGTCAAGTCTGGATCAAGTGTGTTGTGCATTTGATAGTTGCTACTAGTTAAAAGTATCTCAGTGCATTGAGATGGGAAATGTTGTACGAGTGCTGTTAAGTTGGATAGCATGTTATGTTTGTTGGCACATTTGCTAGAAGGTAATGTACATACACAGGTAATTTAGGCATCATGTCCACTGTGGAAGCTTGAGAGTGTAGGAAGCTGTGATCTATGGATTATGGCATGGCAATTGCTGTTCTGCTATTGCTGGCTTCAAATTTTGATAGCAATGGTAAGTTTACTTGATATTTAAAAATGTTTCTGTTGCTGTTGAGGAACATGTAGAAAAGATATGCTGTTTTTAGGGTTGCAAGTGGGCTAGCACTAGAACCCATATAGGCCATCTTATGAAGTGGGCATCCCTACTTGTTTGGCTTCTGTTATCTCTGGATCATGTTCGAGCAGCATGTTTGTTGGTTATTATTCTGAATGCCAGCTGCATGGAGCCTTCCATTTCTTGCAAGCTATCCTTAAAAAACTAGCGGCCTGTTCGGGAGACCGTATCGTATCGTGGATTATTTACTGCTGGCTGGTTTGGTGTGAGAGAAAAATACTATTCCTGGCTGGAAATTTACGATCGTTTACAAGCGAACGAACAGGCTTCTTAGCTGGTAAGTTATCATGCTGTCCAAATCCAACCTTCAGCATTGATGTTCATTGTTATTTCTTTTTGTAGAGACGTCTTTCCTGGATGGTCTTCTATCAGCTAAATTCCAGGAGTATTAATTTAGTTGTGTTATTCATCGTGCCTGTGTTGTGCACTGGTATACTTCATCCGTCATGTTGCTTGGAATTGGAGCATCATGAGCAAGCCCAATGACAGGATCGAAATATTTCTAAATAGTGCAATCCTTGGATTATGTGCTCATCCATATTGCCAGATTATTGCTTTTGAACTCCGGATGTTGCCTACTTTGTTTGTATTGTTCATGAAATTTCTGTGGTGACTTTGTTTATTTTTTGGTTAAGCTCTTAAGTAGTTGATTGGAACTTGTGGTTATTAGAAATGCAGTGTGCTCCTATTGTGGAACTTCAGATTTTATTCCTGCCTATTTTTTTTGGGACTTAATTTTCTTTCATTCAAAATTTTCTGATGCCATACCAAAGAGACACCAATATGAGAAAGATATGTACCGGTCATTCAAGGATGATGTTCCACTACTTGTTTGCTGTTTCTGTTCTGAATGTTGCTTTACTGGGCCTGGATTAGTGTGTGGGTTTCATAGGGCAGCATTTTGTGTTTTTTGACTCGACAGCTTATTGGCGATAACCAGTAAAACTGTAGACCTTTATCTGTTTTAACATTTATTATGAAATGTTCTTTATATATACTTGCGTACATCTGATGTAAACAACTGCAGATTGTTAATAAAGGAGTGACAGGATTTTGACTCATTCGTCTTATTGAATATTCTTTACAGGAGCCATGTTGGCAACTGGTGACGCTGTAGACTCTATGCTAATAGGTTTACTTAGTGGGCAATGCTACAGTACCAACACTACCTTCTAGGAGGTAATACTTCAAACTTCAAAGCAATCTGAGCCATTGATTTATTAGCTTTATGAACTAATTAATGAAATAAATAATCTAAGAAAAAAAAAGAAAAATCTTCTGAAATCCCCTATTCACCGGAACAACAAAAGAAGTGGGGGAACTTTCCCTCCGTGATTACATAGATTTGGCCTCCTTTTTGGTGTGCACGCCACGTCTGTGTATCATGTACATTATTATAGTCAATGATAAAACATGTTACACGTACGTGACAACAAATAAGCACCTGGCTTCTGTTTTCTTGTATGCAAGCTGGTCGTCCTCCTATAGTGCAGCACCTTCCTACACGTATCCTAATGAACGTTGGGAATCAAGCACACTACAACTTGTTGATGTCACGTACAGGTGAATGAAATAATCAAATTATATCATGCACATTAGCTATCATGGTAATTTGAGCTGATCAAATTATGTCATGTTCAAAGTTACAAAATAAAAAGATTTATCATATCACACAAATCACGAATGTATCAGTTAGATCTGGAAGAAAGATTTTTATACCTAAAACTTTCCTTATTTATCCAATCTTACTGAGTTAAAAATTAAATAAATATATATTTCAACTATAACCTCCTAAGAAGTAATAGATGATCCTAACCATCCGATCTCGTTAAATGAACGGTCCGTAGTCATTTGAGGGTACCACAACAAAGCCCTTACTAAATGCCCTTTTGTACGGGCATATATTGATGTAACCAAATGCAGGTTACATCCTTAATAAAAATCTAGGTTGTTGATAAGCAGAAGCATCTTGTACATGGCATCTTGCCCATTTTCAACCCTACTTATTCACTGTTGCGGCAAATCACTGCAGAGCGTTGTTCTTCTCTATGTTCCACACAAACAGAACTGACAAACTTGAGGTACGAATCCCTGATATCATGCATCTCTGTGGCTGCATCCTGCATTGGTGTCCGCTCCCTAATTTGTTTCTTTGAGCAGGATATTCCGAGAGCAATTACAGAAACCAAACAATTCTCTATTCTGCTTCTTCTATCGTTGTGATGGATGTCTGTGTGCAGCCACATTGTTGCATCGGCTATCTCCCAGATTCTATCTGGAAGAGCATCCTCTGAAAACTTATGAAGATCCAATGAATCTGCAAACATGTCATGTGTTGGGCTTCTTCCTGTAAAACATCTCAAGTAGCAATATGCCGAGGCTATAAACATCTCCAAGACCTGAGACAGAAGAACCTTCACCATACTCTGATTGTGCAAAAAGATATATTGATCAACATGCTGTGTGTATATAGGAACTAGGAATTTTGATGAAATACAAATGAGAACAATTTCAGTTACCTGGAGCAACATTGCCGATGGAGCCTCTTATTCCAGTTGTGCTATTGGAATTTTGCAGGGTTTTACTTGCCCTTTCTGGATGGATTCTACATATGCCAAAGTCTCCAACTCGGGCACTCATGTCTTCTGCAAGAAGAATATTGCTTGGCTTGAGATCACAATGAACAATTGGTGGCTCACAGTGATTATGAAGATAGTTCAAAGCATCCACAATATCAACGGCAATGTCTAGCCTTTGCTCTAGGCTAAGAGTATTTGTTTGAGCAGGTGTGTCAGATTCTGGATGAAGCCAACCATTTAGGCTACCGTTTGGCATGAACTCAAAAACTAGTCCCTTGAACTCTTGGCCTTGGCAATTGATGCTTGACAGCAAGTGATGATCTTTATAAGACAACGGCGGCGCACCCTTCTCAGTGCCTCACATTCAGCCACAAAGCTTCTAGAAGATCCAGATATTTGGAGGTTGAAAACCTTCACAGCGGCGATGATTCCTTCATCTTGAAAAGTGCACTTGTATACGGCTCCAAAACTTCCTTTTCCAAGCAAATTGGCTTCTGAAAATTCATCCGTTCCTCTAGCTAATGAATGGTAAGAAATTTGATCATACTGTTCCTCGGCTATTGATGGTGGGAATGGGCTCCTTTGCTTTTGTTTGAGCTTCTTATAGATTAACAGGTTGACTGCTGCAATGAAAGCCAAGAACAAGAGTGCACCAATTGTTGGTAGAGCTATTGTAAGATACTTCAAGTGTCTGTTTCTATTCTTTTTCACAGAATTTGTGTGGCATGGAACTAAATGAAGTTGAGGAATTCCACTGAAAGCATCTAGGCCCCTAGTTGGGTTTCGGTGATTAATGACGACACGAGATTACTATGACTAACGTGTGTTTTGTAGAGACAATTTAAGTTAAGTCATGGTAATGGTAATTGATTGGGCAATCATGATGGCCATGCCCCTGACGATGGAAATCGTTTCGGTTTTCAAATGATGGACGACAAGGTTAAGGACGGACTAGTTCTAAGTGTCGTTTGGCGTTGGAGAGACACTTAGAGTAGTTTATGACTTTGTTTTTTCTTTTGCCGTACTATTAAGGGGGTATAGACTAGTAGCTTGACCTAGGTGAGTCTAGTGGGTTAGGTGTGGTGCATACTTGTCAAATCTAGCACTAGGTAGTTCAGGAATAGCCCTAAGATCAATTGGAGCAAACTTCATTCACATAACATTTCGAGTTGGAAGTGAATGATTGACCGGACGCTGGTCTGGTTGTGACCGGACGCTGGAGGGTGAGTCCGGTCAGTTTATTTGATCAACTTGTCAAATGATTGATCGGACGCTGGTCTGGTTGTGACCGAACGCTGGAGGGTGAGTTCGGTCAGTTTATTTGATCAACTGAAGTCGTCTGGTACTGACCGAACGCTGAGTGAAAGTGGATCGGACGCTGGGTGCCTGCGTTCGGTCAACTCCAGAGAGGTTCTAGAGAGGGATTTTCCTGATCGGACGCGTCCGGTCGGACGCTGGTCAGGATCCGGTAACTGATCGGACGCTGAACAACGAAGTGACCGGACTCTAGGTGCCAGCGTCTAGTCAACATCAGTAAGGTTCCAGTGAGCGTTTTTCTTGACCAGACGCAGGTTAGAGTCCGGTCAGAACTTAACGGCTCTTTCTGACACAGTGGCGGGGATAACTGACTGGAGCGTTCGGTCACCCTGACCGGAACATCCGGTCACCCCGCAGAGTGCTGACTTAGCCTTCCAACGGTTTGTTTTGAATGAGGGGGTATAATACTTACTCCACTCGTCCATGGGAGGTCTCTTACCCATTTGTTCAGCTAAGAAACACCTTGAGAGTGCCAAGGAGAACAAGAGCCTAGTGAGGTGATTGAGATTTGAGAATCTAAGTTTAAGTTCCTCATTAGTACAAGGAGAGTAGCAAGTGTGCATCCACCCTTGTCATTAGGCTTGTTGTGGTCAAGTGAGAGTTTGTGCTAGTTACTCTTGGTAATCACCATCACCTAGACGGCTCGGTGGTGATTGAGAGTTTGGTGATCATCCGGCGAGCTTGTGGATGACCTAACTCAAGTTGTGAGCGGTTGTGGGCGATTCACCGCGACAGAGTGTCGAAGAATCAGCCCGTAAAGAGCACTTGATCCTTGCGTGGCAGCTACACCCTTGCGCGGGTGCTCCAACGAGGACTAGTGGGGAGTGGCGACTCTCCGATACCTCGGCAAAACATCGCCACGTTCCTTTCCCTCTCTTTATTTTAAGCATTTACATTTGAGCAATTCATTTCATGTTTTTACATTCCTAGAATTGCCATGTTAGAGTAGGATTAGAATTTAGGGTGCAAAACTTTTATGCGTTAGAACAATAGAAACATATTTTAGGCACAAGGGGTGAAGTGGGCTAAGTGTAGGGTTTAATTATTGCAAAAAATTTAGAATTAGCCAAATTCACCCCTCTTATTAGGCATCTTGATCCTTTCAATTGGTATCAGAGTCTCGTGCTCGCTAAATTAGGCTTAACCACATAGAGAAAGATGTCTCACGGAGATAGACCTCCTCCTATCTTTGAGGGAGATGATTTTCCTTATTGGAAAATCCGTATGGAGGCTTATTTAGAAGCTTTAGATGTTGGAATTCTTCGAGCCGCCTCATAAGGCTTACCAAAACTTAAGGATCCCACACACCTTCAAGGCGATGAAGTTAATTACGAGAAATAAAATGCAAAGGCTAGAAACACTATTTTTAGAGGCTAGGAACTTACGGTGCAAAACTTTTGTGCGTTAGAACAATAGAAACACATTCTAGACATAAGGGGTGAAGTGAGCTAAGTGTAGGGTTTAATTATTGCAGAATTTAGAATTAGCCCAATTCAACATTTCTCTTGGGCATCTTGATCCTTTCATCCACCACAAAGATCATTATTTCCGGTGATCGACATGTTAGCCAGATTTTTGAATATTCCCTCTTTTGGCACCTCTCCATTCAAATTGTTGAATGACAGATCCAATTCTGACAATGATGTCAAATTCTCTAGAACAATTGGGATCTGCCCAGACAAGTTGTTGTGGGCAAGATATAATTCTTGCAGGTTGTTGATGCTACCAATGCCATCAGGAATAGAACCATACAACCTATTCATAGATAAGTTGAGTGTAGACAGACCCTTCAAACTGTTCAGAGATTGAGGTATAGTTCCCTCGAATAAATTGTCGTCCAACCAAAGTCCTTGCAGCACAGTGCACTTGCCAATACTATCAGGTACCTCACCAGACAATTGGTTTCCGGACAAAACCAGGTTGTTGATGTTCCCCAAGCTACCAACTTCAGGAAGAAGGGGCCCCGATAGCGAATTGTATGATAAGGATAAGACGTTGGAAACGAGTGGCAGCTTCAAAATCTCTCTAGGAATCGAACCATTTAGGTGGTTCATCGAGAGATCAAGGGATACCAGATTCGTCGGCTTCCCTAGGCTTGCTGGAATGGCACCCTCTAGTTGAGCATTTTGTGCAAACAGGTTAGTCAACTTTGAGAGGTTCCCGATAGATGCAGGTATGAGGCCTGTTAGAATGTAATTATAACAGCCCATATTGGGCGTATGGCCCATTGGCCCGTGTACATTGTAACCCTAGCCTATTAGGCTATATAATGAAGGCCACCCCCCTGATTAGGGTGTGCGGTGTTATTCTACATGGTATCACGAGTTCTGGGGGCCTGATCCCGGGTTTTCCACCTTCCTTTTTCCGCTGCCCGTGTGCCCTTCCTCGAGGGCACGTGCCACCGCACCACAGGGCTGCCGCCGTCTCTGCCCCGCGCTAGTCCGCTCCAGCCGCTGCCGCCTCCTCGCGCGATTCATCGCGTCGCTCAGGCCGCGCCGCTCGCTGCTGCCTTCAGCCGCGCGACGCACCTGCAGGCCGCCGCCTCTGCTGCCCGACGCGAGTCGCGTTGCACAGGCCGCTGCCTTCCCGCGCCCCTGCTTCTAGCGAACAGGCCGCGCGCGTCGACTTCGTCATGACGTCCTCGACGACTTCCTCTGCTACCTCCGGTGTTCTCGGCTCCGGAACCTCTGGCGCCATGGGGGACGGCATCGCCCCTGCCTTCTACGCCGCCTATGCCGCCGTTAACGTCAAGCAGCACGTCCCGATCGCCCTCAGCCTCGAGCGCCCCAATTACTCCAAGTGGAAGGCGTTCTTCACCGCCCTCTGCGCCAAGTACGGGCTGCTCGGCCACATCGATGGCACGGAGGCTGCGCGCCCGGCTGACCCCACGTGATCTCAGCTCGACGCTTGCATCCGTGGCTGGATGTACGGCTCCAGCGACGACACCGTCCTCGACCTCGCCATGGAGCCTGATCAAGATGCGCGTGCCCTGTACGTCTCCATCGAGGCCCTGTTCCAGGCGAACAAGGAGCCTCGCGCTGTCGTCCTCGGGCAGGAGTTCCACAGCATGCTACAGGGTGATCTCTCGGTCGATGCCTACGCCCAGCAGATGAAGCATACTGCTGACGCCCTGCGGGAGGTTGGTCACACCATCTCTCCCGCGCAGCTTGTGCTCAACCTCCTGCGCGGCATCAATCCTCGCTTCGCCACCACCGCCGACATCATCGCCAACACGTCGCCGCTCCCGGACTTCAAGGCTGCCACCAACATGCTCCGTGTCAAGGAGCTTCGCCTCGGCTCCGAGGGCAAGGAGGCCTCAGCATCAGCACTCGTCGCCTCCTCCACCTCCTCTTGCACTTCGCCATCCTGCCGGCCCACTCCCGCGCCATCCAACCGTGGGGGTGGTGGCAAGGGAAAGGGGGGCAAGGGCAAAGGAGGGCGTGGCGGCAACGGCAACAACGGAGGCGGCGGGCGTAACCAGCAGCATGGCGCCCACCAGGGCGCTCTAGGCGGACGTCAAGCTCCTCAGCCGGTCGGTCCTTGGGTCTGCTATAACCCTTGGGCCGTCTAGCAATGGCCTCCTCAGCAGCAGCAGTGGGGCGCGCCATCCGCACCTCCTCCACCGCCGCCGCCCCCTCCGTAGGCGCACACTGCCTTCGTGCTGGCCCAGTACTCCACCGTGTCGCCAGGGTACGGGTACGGCTCCTGGGACGCGACCAGCCTAATTGCCGCCCTCAATCAGATGGTGGTTCAGGGGTCTTCTCCCTGGGTCATGGACAGCGGAGCGACATCCCACATGTCCTCCAACGACGGTATACTTCTTTCCCGTCTCCCGTCACTACCGTCCTCCATTACGGTTGGTAACGGGCAATCTATTCCTGTCTTTAGTCGTGGCACATCTTCCTTACAAATAGCTGATCGTTCCTTTCATCTTGATAATGTTCTTGTCGCTCCGCAACTCACCCGTAACCTGTTATCTGTTCGACAGTTTACTCGTGACAATAATTGTTCAATTGAGTTTGACGCCTCTGGTTTTTCTGTTAAGGATCTCAAGACCAAGACAGTCCTCCTTCGGTGCAATAGCCATGGGGACCTCTACACCATTCCACATCGCATGCCACCTCGCTGTCATGTCGTTGTCGTCTCCCCGGAGCTGTGGCACTCCCGCCTTGGTCATCCTGCTCCTGCTGTCGTCGCTACTCTAAATAAGCTATCAGCTATCCAGTGTAATAAAACAGCTCACCGCATTTGTCATGCTTGCCAGCTCGGTAAACATGCTAGGCTGCCTTTTGCTAGTTCGGTCTCTAGTACATCAACACCTTTTGAACTTGTTCATTGTGATGTTTGGACCTCTCCGATTCTGTAGTATTTCGGTTATAAATTTTATCTTGTGTTAGTTGATGATTATACACATTATTGTTTGGGCGTTCCTCTTCGTCATAAATCAAAGTTCATGAACACATTGTTCAATTTGTTGCTTACGCTCACACACAGTTTAGTTTTGCTCTCCACTGTTTTTAGGCAGATAATGGCACCGAGTTCCTCAACAATGCCACCGCCACCTTCTTGGCTGGCCGCGGCATTCTCCTTCGCACCTCGTGCCCCTACACATCCGCTTAGAATGGCAAGGCTGAGCGCATGCTCCGGACTCTGAACAATGGTGTTCGCACGCTTCGATTCATGCCTGCCTCCATCCTATTGGATCGAAGCTCTCTCCACATTGTGTTCCTCATGAACCGGCGGCCATCCTCGTCCAAAAATAACGGTATACCATATCATCTCCTCCACCACAAGATGCCAGACTACTCCATCCCCAGGGTTTTTGGCTGCCTATGCTACCCCAACCTTAGTGCCATGACTCGCCACAAATTGTCTCCTCGCTCCACGGCATGTGTCTTCCTCGGTTACCCTCCATCACAGAAGGGTTACCGGTGTCTTGACCTCTCCACTCGCAAGATCATCATCTCGCGACACGTCGTTTTTGATGAGACTCACTTTCCATTTGCGGCCTCCAAGCCTCGACCGAATTCTCTTGATTTTTTGTTACAGGACTTACTTCCCGCGCCTGCCCCGTCTACCTCAGACGTTCGGCACTCACGGACCTCGGTGGCGCCTGCCTCGTCTGGCTTAGACGACGCTGGCGATGCCGACGATCCCGTCGGACTCGACCCTGCCATCCTATGGCATGGCGCTGCTCACCGGCTGCCCTCGGCTCCTCGGCAGGCCGCGGCTCCAGCACCTCCTCCGCCAGCAGGTGTTGTCGCCCCTGCCCCTGCCCGGCAGCGGTTCGGCATCCACTACAGTCGTCGTTCAGCTCTGCCGCCGGCTCCACAGCCTCCCTCGCCGGCTCCACATCCGCCACCGGCGGCACTTTCGCCCACCCACTGCGTGCGGTCTTGCCCCGAGCTCAGTTCAAAGACCGAGAGCCTCCTGCTGGGTGACTTCGTTCCCAGACGGGTTCCCTGCCCGCCCATGCGCATGCGGCTTCACCGCAGCCTCCTCGGTCGCTTCTCCGTTGCTAGGGCAACTCTCGCCTTGCCTCGCCGCCGCGAATTGGTGTGCGGTGATGGCTGAAAATATAAGCGCTCATGGACAATGGCACACTGGCGTCTGTTCCTCGACCGCCTCGAGCCAACGTCATCACCGGCAAGTGGGTCTTCAAGCACAAGTATCATGCTGATGGCTCTCTGGCTCATCATAAAGCCAGATGGGTCGTTCGTGGGTTCTCGTAGCAGTACGGCATTGACTACGACGAGACGTTCAGTCCGGTTGTCAAACCGGCCACCATCCGGGTCGTCTTCAGCATTGCCGCCTCTCGTTCCTGGCCGATCCATCAGCTGGATGTGAAGAACGCCTTCCTCCACGACCATTTGAACGAGACGGTCTACTGTCAGCAGCCGCCCAGCTTCGTCGACTCGGCAGCTCCCGACCATGTTTTCCTCCTGCAAAAGTCCTTGTACGGCCTTAAGCAGGCGCCCAGGGCGTGGCACCAATGGTTCTCCGGCTTCATCCGGCGGTCCGGCTTCACAGCTTCGGCCTCCGATACGTCCCTCTTTGTTTACAGAGTGGGATCTGACATCGCCTACTTGCTACTTTACGTCGACGACATCGTCCTGACAGCCTCGTCGACCTCGCTTCTTTGACGCCTCACCGAGCTTCTTCACTCCGAGTTCGCCATGACAGATCTCGGGGATCTTCATCATTTCCTCGGGATCTCATCACGCGTTCTCATCGATGGCCTCTTTACATCTCGGCAAAGACCAATGCGCTGTGGACTCGCTTCCAACACATAGCGGTATGGTCGAGTGTCACTCTACGGCGACTCCTGTTGACACTCAGGCCAAGCTCTCAGCTATGGACGGCGCTCCGGTGGCGGATGTCACCCAGTACCGCAGCCTCGCCGGTGCTCTACAGTACCTCACGCTGACTCGTCCGGACCTTGCCTATGCGCGATTCAAAGAAGTTGCCCTCTTCATGCACGACCCTCGAGAGCCTCATCTTGCGATGCTCAAGCGTGTCCTGCGGTATGTCAAAGGCACCCTGTCCACCGGGCTTCACATCGGCACAGGCAGCATCACAAGCTTGACTGCCTACTCCGATGCTGATTGGGTTGGCTGTCCCGACTCTCGGCGCTCCACTTCAGGGTACTGTGTCTTCCTCGGCGACAATTTAGTCTCTTGGTCCTCTAAACGACAGACTACGGTCTCTCGTTCGAGTGCGGAGGCTGAGTATCGTGCTGTTGCACACGCTGTGGCTGAGACTTGTTGGCTTCGTCAGTTACTTCAGGAGCTCCATGCACCCATATCTTCGGCGACGATCGTCTACTGCGACAATGTTAGTGCTGTCTACATGACCGCCAATCCAGTTCATCATCGTCGCACGAAGCATATTGAGATAGATATTCACTTCGTTCGTGAGAAGGTTGCTTTGGGACAGGTTCGGGTGCTCCATGTTCTATCATCTCATCAGTTCGCGGACATTATGACCAAAGGGTTACCTGTACAATTGTTCATTGACTTTAGGTCCAGTCTTTTTGTTCGTGACACTCCCGCTTAGACTGAGGGAGGGTGTTAGAATGTAATTATAACAGCCCATATTAGGCGTATGGCCCATTGGCCCGTGTACATTGTAACCCTAGCCTATTAGGCTATATAATGAAGGCCACCCCCTGATTAGGGTGTGCGGTGTTATTCTACAAGGCCAGACAAGTAAGTGTAGGACAAAGTTA